GATAAATGAACTACTGATATTTGCAACGGATGCGTGATGATTTTCACGTACGTTATGTTGAAAGCATGAAAGCCAGACACGAAGGCGTACATGAGGCATGGCTCCAACAATGCGAGGCTCACGCTAAACCCTGGTGACAGAGTCAAGGCAGTGGTTGCTTCAGGTACTGGGTGCTGAGAGGAGGCAGGAGGGGACATCCCAAGGTGGTGGGATGCCCTATCTCTTCATCTGGGTGGTGGTTACATGGCTCATGTACAAGTAAGAATTCAGCAAAATGCAAACTTTAGCTTTCTGCATTTTGCTGGGTGTGAATTGTGNTTATTCATAATCATCAAAACCTGGCATCCTATGTGTCCATCAAAAGAAGAATGGACAGACACGCTGAGGTGTGTTCATTCAGTGCTGTAGCACAGTACACAGCAAGAGAGATAAATGAACTACTGATATTTGCAACGGATGCGTGATGATTTTCACGTACGTTATGTTGAGAGCATGAAAGCCAGACACGAAGGCGTACATGAGGCATGGCTCCACCAATGCGAGGCTCACGCTAAACCCTGGTGACAGAATCAAGGCAGTGGTTGCCCAGGTACGGGGTGCTGAGAGGAGGCAGGAGGGGACATCCCAAGGTGGTGGGATGCCCTATCTCTTCATCTGGGTGGTGGTTACATGGCTCATGTATAAGTAAGAATTCAGCAAAATGCAAACTTTAGCTTTCTGCATTTTGCTGGGTGTGAATTGTGCCTCAATAAAACAAAAACTCTTTGTAATAATGGTCCTCAAATACCACAGTCTAAACACGCACAGAAAAGAAACAGAGCCGGGAGAATTCAGTAACCGTCTAATTCAGCCTCCGAGGTTGGGATGGAATTCCAAGCCACACTGTCTCAGCCGGCAGCAGCAACGAGGGCACCTANTTTACTTTTTACTTTCCTCTGCTAGTGCCCAAGGCCAAGGTGGAGGGAATGGCCAAGAACAAGGTGGAGCAGACAGGAGAGTTAGAACAGAGCTTGCCACCCCAAGAAGAACTTTTCCAAATAAATGGGGTCATTCTGAAAAAGAATGTACGTGACATTTGGGACCGAATCTGGAACTTCCAAGCCAAGCCTGATGACCTGCTCATTGCTTCCTATCCCAAAGCAGGTACGTTCACGGACACGAGGACAGGGATGTGAAGCTGGAGCCTGTGTCAAGCAGGGACGGCAGTGTCCTTGTCTCTGAGTCAGACGGAATGGCAAAGGACCTGAGACTTTTCTGTAAAACTGTAAGGATTTTTGAGAGCTAGAGCAGTTGATTCATTAAAAAATATGTAACTAGCCATAGCAGACTCTTCAGGTAGAAGACAANAGCCAAACGCTCATTATCTCCGGCCCCCGGCACACGGTCCGGTCTGGAGAAGAACATGAGAACATTAGACGAATCACTCACAGGCCTTAGATTGCAACATGTGATAAGGGCTGGGAAGGAAATGTAGGGCGTGTGCTGAGAGAGCACTGGGTCCCCGATTACACTCAGTAGGGGCAGGAAAGACACTCTGGGCTACTGTGCTTATGGCATAGTTAATGTGTTCATTTGATAAAGCTGAGAAACAAAGTACCAGTAACCGAGTGGCTTGAA